ACATTAGGAAGAAGAAGAATTAAGCAATGTCTCTGTGACAACCCAGCTTTGATTTCCAGAAGAAACTGGTCTTTATGAAAATATTTTTTCGATGAAAGGTCTGTTGATGAAAGGTCTGATACATTACTTAATTCAACGGTATAGATCTAATGTTTATCTGTTTAGGTTTCTTGGAGATTGTGGTTAATTATGGTTAGTTTAAGATAATCTGCTGACTTGCCACTGTGACACAGCAACAAACTAAGCCGGAAGTCTTTCACACTGTACTGATTGTTATCCTACACTACTCATCGTGTGGCATTGTGTGGCGGTTTAAGTGCGTTTAAGTCTTCCACTGTGGCTTTCAATACTTTTTACCTAATGTCAAAACAAAGTTATTCTTGTATTTCTGCAAATGTTTAAATTAACTAAAAACACAATTCAGATTTAACCATAAATTTCTTTATATTAGGACAATATTTCAAAGTTCTAATGCAAAAAAAAATGAAGTTCATTTTTAATGCGAAATCTATTTCAGTCACTTAAGCCTTTTAAGCTAATGCTTCTATTTTAATGTAAGGCATTATACAATTATATGTAAATAATATATATATGACTATAAAGTATAAAAACGATATTTAAGTCAGGAATAGGAATAAATTATATGTTCAAATTTACGTCTTTAATAAACACTTAAGGTAGCTCATAGTATTCCGACTATGCATGCATACATGAACGTTTAAGTTATTCACGCAAAGCAGAGGCAACACATGTTGAAACTTCCAAGCTACAGCCGTCCTTCCGTACTTCAATACTTCAGTATTCCAGTACTTCAATCTCAATTAGAAAACGTGTAGTATATAAGAACAGAATGTACAAAAGCTTTGAGAAAATAACCTAATTTTAAATATGTACTTATATACACATATATATGTGAGAACATATATGGTATGTATCTCCCACTTTCAAAATATTTCCCACTTTACTTCATTACTGCTCCATTTTGTTCGCTACACATGTCAATTATAAACTTTTCAGTGTTAAGAGGAGAAATTTCGGTAATCGCTCTCATAACAGTTAAGATATTAATTAAATTTAAATAAAATTTAAAAAGGTTCCAATAAATTATAATAGACATATATATTTGTATTTTTTAAAAATCAAGTCAAATAAAATAGTTCAATTATATCTTATTAACACTCGTAATTAAGCAAATCTTGGTACAAAATTCAAAAAGTTTATTAATTATAATAATTTTTATTATTTTGGTAAAATGATTTTTAAGTAATTTACTGTTATAATTTATATTTATATTGCTTATAATAAAAAGAAATGAATTATTATTTTTTAATCTATTAAAAAATAATGTGCGATATAAATTGACGAAATACCAACTGCGGTGTTTATTATTATTATGACATGTTCTATAAATTACAATTACAATTCAAGAACTTAGTCCATTCACATATGCTTTCCAGACACCCCTATTACGCGCTAATGCTCTAAGCTCACTGAATGATTTGTTAGTTTCCTTGTTTATCGATCTTCTACATGTGCTTTTTGACCGTCCACGATTCTTTCTACCTTGTGGGTTCCATTGTAATGCTGAGACTGCGGTGCTTAGCATAGGATGAACTGTCGCACCGCTGGCTAAGTTAAGTTTACCGGGAAGAATAAAACTTTAAAAATAAAGAAATTTCTATTGAAAATTAAAGCATAAAATTAAATACGGAGAAAAATTTTCTCTTTATAAAATATCTATTCAATATATCACATTGAGGTATTAAAGGCATTGTTCGTTATACGAGTAGTAAAATGATTATTTGGTATTTCAATGCATAGTGGGGAGAGGCTTTATCTAAAATATCTAAAATGTAATTAAAGTTATTCTGTGGTACTACTATACCGTTTTCATCTACCATTTTGGTTGCAATGAGGATCATCAAATGATATATGTATAAATCGTAGTTCTGTAAAGTAACACCAAAAATAATTTACTTACATCAGGAACTATTTTTAGAAATATGCTATCTCCTAATTATAAATAGTCAGCATTGAAAAGAGTTTATCAACTATTTTTATAATTAATTATAAATCAAAACAGTTTTATAAAATTGTACAGACTTAATGTATGAAATTTTCAACGAAATTTATTTAAATCGACGAAAACCTATACACGGTTTGTGAGCCGTGAACCTATATAATGTATATATATATAAGAGTACACATTAATTTAAAATATTACATGTAAAAAGCTGTGGAAACCGAACATAGTTCCATTGTTAATAGTTTTTATTTGTTTGAAGCATGCAACGTCAACATGTGTCCAATTTCCGATTGCATATGTCGACTCACCGGAACGAACGACCGAAAAAACCAAGTGTCCTGGCATTTCGTATCAAATGTTGCGCTTTCAAATATTCATAAAAGCGTACTTTTTTAAATTTTTATGCGTAAAAGTGCAACATTTTCGTATAATTTTTAATTCGAAAAGCAGCTTGTTTCCTGCTTTTTTGTTGTTGGTTCATAAAAAAACATGCTTTTGGACTAAAAGTAAACCATTGACTTTAATTAGTCCTGTGAAACATGGACATGTACGAGGACGTACATTTTCATCTTACGTGCACGTAAGCCAAAGAGCCGCGATTATGAGGAAAAAACTAACGAAAATATTACTAATATTTTTCTGCATAGTTTCTGCTTTCACTTAGTCGTTTTTAATCTTCTAGTCTCATTGGAAATGTAAAGCATAATTATAAGGAATACAAGCGAAGATTTATTATTCCACGTTAAGTTAGGTTAAGTTGGAGTGGCAACCTAAGAGGGTGTCATTTCGTGCTCATACATAATTTCTTAAAATATGTGACGCTATTGTTCCCAAAGCACTGGTCCAATAATTTTTAAATATTATTTTAATATTATATTTTAATATTGAGTTCATTTTATATTTGATAAAAAATTCTTGCGATCTCATTCTATATAAACGAGCACAGTAAGAAAGGCTAGGTTAGGTTTGAGTTGCAACCTCGTGCTCTAAGGTTCACTTCAGCACAAATGGTGGAATGATGGTTAGTTGTATAAAAATGACTTACCAAAAATGTTTAATTTTCATAGCAAATAACAAAGAAAAAGGTAACCCACGAAGATATTGCTCTCTAACAATACATATGATTTCGTTCTTAAATTGAAAAATTGACTTATAAAATAATGAAATTATAAATTTAAGTAAGATAGTAATAGCAAGGAAACTGATTTATTTCGTTTTTATTTAAATATTAAATATTAACATGTCATTTAAATGAAGCTAGATCATTTTGAACGATGTGATGTGATTGAATAGACTAAGAGATCAATCAAGTGAATACAAAAGGTGAGGCAAGACAAAAAAGTTGCATCAAAGTTGTTCAAAAATCCAAATCATGTTTCGATTATTGTAGTGTGGTATATTATAATACCCAACACTACACTATACCCAACACTATAATACCCAACTACACTACACCACATTTTTGCATTCGATTGAATAAATTTTCGGAACAGCTTTACCACTTTGAAGTTGGTATCTCTAAAATCAGGGTTTTGAATGAGGCAACGGTCTGTTCGGGTAATAAAAAATTCACATCACGCAGTTTTTTATAATCGGAAACAAAAAAGTCACGGCATGCAAAAACTTTTTAGATTTAGAAAAAGAAAAGAAGCTCACAAAACCGAGATGAAGGATGATCTTCCGATGATGGTTGATTTTCCTTAATTTTCCGAAGACTCCTAGCAAACTAAACATTGTGTACCACTCAGAATAGACAGTTCTACGTTGTTCAAGTAGTATAGTTGCGACTTTACCGAATTTTCGTAAAAAACATGCGACCATTTGCTTTGATTTGTTTCGTCCGCGGACAGCTTTTGTCAGATTCCGCTCACTTTGGAAGATACACACACTTTATTACAATACTGTTTAGAGTTTTTTAGCATTCCATTGCACTAATCAACATGTGCTTTCTTTTGAGCAGTTGTCAAATGATGGGGAATCCAATGGGAAAAAATGTTTCCGTCAGCTAAATGTATATGTAAAATTGAATGTATGCTGGTCCCACTAATGCCCAATCACGCTTCTATCCCCCGATGTTTTCCGATACAACAGCCGTTCTTCAACGAACTTCACAAAACGCTCGATTTCATTAAACCAGTGTTTTATAGTCGTTGGATGTGGGGTTTCATCAGTAAATGTCGAACTAAGTTGATCGATGCATTCTCGTTATTGTTAATCGCCGTTGAAAACAGTAAAAAATTATCGCACGAAAATGTCCATTATTTAATTCGATTTTTTCACAATTCAGAATCGATTAAAACAACACAATAAGCGCGCATAAACTAAAAGGTGATAATGAAATTTATGCTAGAAAATGTAAATTTTTCGAACAGATTCATCTAGCAATACATAGCGTTGCCTAGGCAATATTTAAAAAACAGCCTACGTTAACGCCTGATATAGCACAGTTTGGCTATTTTCTATTCCCGAATAGTTGACTTCGGGAACACCATTTGACATGATTAAAGAAATAAAGAATAAAAAATCGTTACCATAAGTGTATTATATCGAAATGATGTTACTTGAAGTCGATTTAAAAGATTAAAAGAATAAAACCCGATTTTAATAGTTATACACAATTTAACTGTATTTTTTGATGACATTGTTATTTTGGAAAATTTCTTTTAACTCTTGATGGGTAATGAATGCTGACTCTGAGCTTCAAATTTGGGAGGGTACGAGTTCTTAATGTTCATTTCTACAGCAGCGAGGAATTCAAAAATGCATTGCAACTATTGTCAATATTTTTAGAATTAATAAGAAAGAAATATATGGCGTCTAATCTTCCTTAATTATAAATTACCCTGAAGTCCGTAGTTAAAACTAAGTTAAAACTTTACTGTAAAACTAAATTTATAATCTACAAACCCAACAATAAAGTTTCTGAAACTCTTTAAGTAAAATTAAAGAGCTAAGAGTCGATTTTATAACGTTTTAGAGAAACTATTTCAGCCAGAGGTTCAATTAAAAATCCAATCAAAATTATATCCACGAAGCTTCATTTCATTTCTCACAGTGCAAAAAAGTTGTTAATGATAATTCATCACTGATTTACTGGATACAATCCTTTGCCATTGAGTGACACAAAGTGAATGGAAACAATGAGAACACACCTTATGTAGGTCAAAACAGTGACGTAAAAATTAAGTGCAACGGACAGAAGTGGCAATTTTCGTAGTTGCATTAACAGCTCGGAAAGTTAATAATTGGAATAATTACACGGAATAATTAAAATGAGAAAACAGAGTTCATCATGTAAGTGCATTATATTAAAAATCATATATTTTAGAAACCAACGAAAGAAAATAATGAACATTTAAATTACCTTCAAGGATTATATATAAAAGCTGCAATTTATTATTTAGCACTATATATTTAATTTATATGCTCAATTGTAAAAATTATTACTCTCAACTAAATCTTCACATTTCCAAATACTTCTTGTGTGCTTTATTTTCGATAATCTTGTGATAATGTGTAGTTCGCTATTTCGGACAATCCTACTAAGCACATTTTCTACATACAAATCAACTCTTGAAATGCACAAGGCAAATGTAGTGTTTGAATTTCTTTTGCTCATAGTTTTTGCATTTGCATTGCTCGATATTCTTAAATTAAATCCCACTTAAGCGCAGTAATGTACGATTTATTCCAAAAGGAAAATTCAAAATGAGCGAATATAAACTAATTTTAGGAGTAATGGAGCAATTGTGCTGTTATGCTCTAATATTTTCTAAGAAAACTTTTGTATACTTTTGTAATATAACAATATAGGCCACATCATTATATAGAACATTGACTCAATAATAGTTTTTTCGAACTACTAATATTTGAATAATTTAAATGATAAATGATGTTTGGTAGTGTTTGGTAGTCTATTAAAAAACTTGTCACATACCCAAAGAAAACATTGTTTAAAATAATGCTTTCTAGAATTTCCATCTATTATGTATAAAATTGGATTTATAATTGGAGAATATTCATAGAAGGCAGGACAGAGTTGTTATTGTATTTTATATTTTTACATAATATATTAATATTTAAAATTAAAAAAAAATAATAAATGTCGCCCGTGCGACTAGTGGAGTAACATTAGCATGACTTTCTCAGCATTACGTTCCTAGATTAGGTTCTATACATAAGAAAGAACAAATCATGCAACAAATAATGCCTCTAAAAACTTTCACAGCAAAAGTAACAAAAATCCAATAAAATACGCGAACATAAAAAGTTAAGTACGACTTTGGATCAGTTAGTTAAGGTGCGCTGATTCTGAGCTTCACATTTGGCACGACCGAGTTCGATTCCTGGTACTTGCAGTCTCAAAAAAGAAAAAATTATTTACGAATAATTAAATTCAAGAATTATTACCAAGACCACTGATGATGGGTATTTGGCAGTACTCGAAATAGCTGTATGGTCAGCCAAAAATTCAATTAATTGAAATAATATGAAAAATAAAATTTTTGTTGTTGTAGTTCACTACTGTTCGAAAAAACCTCTTTATAAATATTTAAAAGAATAATCCCAGCTTATTTTAAAGAAACTATAATATAAACATAAGAAACAAGTTTAATAACAAATTATATTGATTTTATTAAACAATCGGGGATCATGTTTAATGGCCGTTGAAATTTTCTTATAAAATTGATACAACTGTGCGAAGTGTACTATCATAGATAAATAAATACTATCGGACAATGCCTTATTGGTTACTGCCAGGAGTGTGTGACTGGAGTAATTTGGGTTAAAGGACATGTATATAAGTTCAGAATAATGTAAGTATTGATATAAATAAGTTGATTATGTTTCTATAAACATACATGGGGATTTTTA